ACAATGCTGTGATTGACAGTAATATTAACTATATTACTGTTAAACACAGTAATATTAACTATATTACTGTTAAACACAGTAAAATTAACTAAACTACAATTTAACACAGTAATATTGCTATATTAATCTCTAGCACAGTAATATTAACACAACAAAACTCATTATTATTGTGTAATAGAGTAATATTACTATGTTGACCATTCAACAAATGTAAACATAATAAAAAGCCAAAAGAATTAATATTACTGTGAGTGACAGTAATATTATTATAACAACAGTAATATTACCGTCAACCACAGTAATATTACAATAATAGACAGTAATAATATTACGTTACTCCGTGAATAACTCAAACAAACAAAAACATCCAAACAAAATAATAATATTGATGTGGTTAACGACAATATTACTATAACAACACAGTAATATTACCGTCAACCACATCAATATTATTACGTTACTCCGTGAATAATTCAAACAAAACAAAAACCCCAAAAAAATAATAATATTGATGTTGTTGACAGTAATATTGTTGTGTTTACAGTTATTTTACTGTCAACGACTGTAATAAAATTACGTTGACTTGTCAACAAATCAAACAAAATAAAAAAAATAACAAAAATTAAAAAAATAATAAAATTACGTTAATTTACTGTCAACGGCAGAACAATTACATAAACGTATTGTCAACGGCAGTACAATTACATTAATTAACTATCATTGACAGTATAATTACGTTAATTTATTGTCAGTGACAGCATAATTACGGTCAACGTTTAGCGGCGGACGTAAAAAATAAACAAACAAACAAAAAAAAAGAAAAAAAAAACTTAAAAAAAACACTAAAAAAAATCAACGCCGGAAACCGGCGAAAAAATCCGGAAGAAAAGAAAAGAAAAAAGGAAAAAAATAATAAAATAAAAAAATCGAAAAAGTCAACGCCGGAGACCGCCGGTTAACGATGGAAACCGACGAAAAAATCCGAAAGAAAAAACAAATAATTGAAAATTCAACGCCGGAATCCGGCAGGAAAAATAATTTTTTTGAAAAAAAATATTTGAAAAAAAAATGGGGTTAAAATTGAATAATTTGTGAAATTTGGGGTCAAATTGAGGTTAAATTAAGTTAATGATGAAATTGGAGCATATTAAGAATTGAGTATAGAGGGTTGAGGGTAATATTGTCATATACATGAATGTTTCCTTTATTTATAATAAATATTAAAGGGATGAGTTTATTGGTGAAAGAGATATAGCCCATAAACCTAGAATAATAAAGATGTTTGGTTTGGGACTTATGTACAAAAACCCCTAGTTTATATCACATTAGTTCAAGAAGTTATGTCGATAGTTTTAATGAGATTAAGAGATGAACTTCATTTTATCCGGGGCAAATTGCACATCACCCCCTGTAAATTTCAATTTTTCGCGCTCTACCCCCTTCAAAATGTTATTTTTGTTGCACATTGCTTCTTTAAATGTCATTTTTTGTTGCACGTTGCCCCTTGAAAACACTACTTTTTTGCACGTTGCCTCTTTGAAATGTTTTTTTTTGTTGCGCAATGCCCTCCAAAAATTGGCTTCTGGGGCAAAGTGCAAACCAAAATTGTATTTTGAAGTGGGAGTATCCCTATTTTGAATAGTTAGGGGGAAAGTGCGAAATGGAAAATTTATAGGGGGTGAAGTGCATTTTGTCCTATTATCGGAAACTTATGTTTATGATGCACTTGTGTTTGTATGCTTATGTTGTTTACTGAATAAAGTTTCGAGTCTTGATGCTGTTTCGTTTTCTCTCTTTTTTTTTTCTGGCCTTTGTCGAAGACGGTGGATTTTTAATACAATGCAGGGAAAAATCGAAAGTTGTGCTGTATGAACATATGTGGAACGTTCAATTTAGTTATACACACACTCTAATATTAGTTATTCCATAATGTTTATGTTGTTGCAGGGTGGAGCATTCTGTAAGTATAACCGATATTCGGAGTCGTTCAGATTCAACTTGAAAAGCAAATTGGTCGAGTAATTGTTGATCAGTACTTTGAGCAACGTGTTTTGGTTGGAAGCAATGGATGCACATCGAAATTTTGACAAATTTTTGGGTAAATTTTTTAAAATCTTACATCGGATTGACGGGATCATTTTCTGAAACTATTGAACTAAGTTTTGTATGATTATTATGTCATCACAAATCGATTGTGAGCAGAAGTGGCAATCGGGACCTATGATTTTTTGGTAGGCTCAAACTCAAATATTATCAGGCACTAAGACTAGAAGCTCAAACTCACATGCCGTCGGACTTTATAGTTATAAGCTTAAACTCGGGTTATGTATTGCTTCAGGATTTGGGTTTAAATCAGGCTCAAATCGGGCTTAAAACATATATTCTAATTATAGGAGATTATACTTACATACCTATGAATGAACTAATTTTAATTAATACTCACTCAATAACATATAAATTTTATGCATATGATTAATAATATACAAATTGGAAGCAATATTTAAAATAATATAGATTATGATAAACTAACTAAATTTTAGATATTTGTAATAGTATAAAAACTAATCTTTTTTTTATTTTGTTTATGAAAAATGCTATATGAATATTTAAAAACTTCTAAAGTTTTTTTCAAATAAGATAAAATATTATAAATGATTCAAATCAATGAAACACATAAATATTTATTCATATTAGAAAATATTTGAATTTGTGAAAATACTCTTGATATAAATTTGAAAATATTTCAATTGATGATTGTAAATTCAAGGGTTAATTACACCCACACCCCTGAGGTATTCTTAAATAACTTTAAGGTCCCTGTGGTATCGATAATTACACTCACCCCCTGAAACGTAGTTATAAATTCTAATGGGATAATGCATTGGATACGTTATTACGATGGAGTTCTAACGGACTATTGGTTTTAGAAAGTGGTGGCGACAACAAAGAATTATGGGTGATTTAAGAAATGTTCGGGGAGCCACGTCACCCCATATCCCCCATAACTCTATGTTATCTCCACAACTAGCTAAAAGTAATAGTTCGTTAGAACCCTATCGGAATAATGTATCCAATGCATTATCCCATTAGAGTTTTTAACTACGTTTCAGGGGGTGAGTGTAATTATCAATACCATAGGGACCTTAAAGTTATTTAAGCATACATCAGGGGTGTGGTTGTAATTTACCCTAAATTCAATGTTAATGTTTTGCACGTGTCAAACATTAACCGAGGAAAAGGTAAGCTAGAGCATCGTATTTAAGAAATTAAGTAAATAGACAACTATACCACTGTCAAAGTTATGTGATTCGCACGTGCGTTAAAAAGAATCCAAGTATGATTGAGATGAAAGGATTTCATTTCTTCTTTCATAGTAGAAAGCCATTTAACAAATTCAGCAGATTTCAAAGCATCTAAACACGTTCAGGGCATAGTAGATTAATTTAATCGACTACCAAAACACGTAGTCGATTAAGGGTCCAGCCTGCGTGAATTTTTCTATCAGCACCGTCTTTCGCCTGATCTATCAAAAAATTCTAGACCTGTCTTCGGTCGTCACCACACCACCGCCACATCACACCATCACCACCCCCACATGTTGCCTCGCCTCTGTCACATGTTGCACCACCACTCTCAGCCGTCGATAGAGATAGAAAGTACCACGACAATCTAATCTTCACAAAATTCCATGAAACTTCAACCGACGGTGAATTTGGGTGGTTCCTAAGATGGTTCTTGAACAACGGCATAGATATTGACTTTCCATCCAAATCGAAACTTTGGAAAATGTAGATATGGGAGCATGAGATGCTGAATAAAAATCTAACTCCTCCAATCATTACATTCACCATAATACTAAAAAAATGAAATAAATAATTGGGCAGCCAATTTGGTCCTAATTAGAGGAACAATACCTAGCACATGAGTTTTTGCCAAGGTGAGATAAATATATTTTCTCCAGGTTTTAACAATCTTTTAGCATGTTAATGAAAACTGAAAATTTAAAAAATTGAAAATTAAAAAAATCATTAGAAAAATGAAACATATAAGAAATGAGTTCATCTATAGATAAGATTGGGAAAACACAGTAAGCCAACTTTTTGTTGCCGGAGAAAAGAGAGAAGAAAAAAAAAACAGAGAAGAGGAAGAAAAGTAACAGGAGAGGAGAAGGGGTAAATGAAAAATGAGATTATAGTTTTGAAAGGGTACATTGGACAATTAAAAAGGAAAATGAGATAAATGAAAAATGACCTTATGTTTTTGAAAGAAGAAAAATGAGATAAATGAAAAATGACATTATGTTTTTGAAAGAGTACATTGGATAGGGGTGCAAGTTGGAACGAAATTTCTAATTTCCGCTGGTTCCGATCGGAAATGTTCCGATTTTGGAACAACTTTTTTCATTCCGACTTCCTAAATTCCAATTTCCGAATTTTTCCGATTTTTTGGATTGGAATTGGAACTATATAAAATAAATTTGGAATTTCCGATTTCCGATCCAATTTAATTCCGAAAAAATCCGATTTTTTTCCGAAAAATACACCTATAAATAATATATATTTTATAATACTTACTTTCCGATAAATACATCTATAAGTTTTGTTTTAAGATTTTGACATAATGAATTGTTGTTAGAAGTTTTATTGGATATTATGTTGTGTTTATTATTTTTATTTTTTTAAATGAAATTTAGTAGTTATTAGTTTTACTTTTATCGACGTGGATGTTCTTATTTTTGAAAAATTATGAACATCTTAGAAAATTTCGGCTAGGTTTCGAAATTTTAAATCTTATGTGATTTCCAATTTTTTCCGAAATTCCGAAATTTTCGGGCCTTTTGGAATTGAAATGAAATTTTAAATTCCGAAAACTTTGGAATTGGAATTGGATTTGATTTTATTGCTTACAAAATCGATCCCCATGTTTTGAGAATAAAATAATCATATAATTTGAGAGAGATCTCCTTTTCTAAACGGGGAGGGAAAACGGTATCACACACACTCACACACCACCATAAAGCATTCTTGATTTCCATCTTCTTTGCTCCGGAAAAAAATGTCAGACATCCCCTCCGACCTCCATCATGAAATACTCCAGCGAATCCCCGCCGATTCTCTCCTCCGCTTTCGTGCCGTCTGCAAGGGGTGGCGCCGCCTCATCGACGACCCATCCTTCGTCAGAACCCACGCCGCCAATCAAACTTCCTCCACCACCCTCCTCATCAGAAACTCAACCGCCACTCGGTTGTGTTCCTTAAATCTGGATTCCCTAAACTACGACGAAGCCCACCAGGTGATCGACGTAATGCCCGTGAAGGCTCTCTTCCGCGTAGGCCTGCCTCGTTCACCTGTTCTGCCGGTAGCCTGTTGCAACGGCCTGATTCTCCATTCCCAATACGAGAATGAAAAGACTTGGGTTATATGGAACACCTTAACCAGAGAGTTCCACGAGTTGCCCCAGTTCAATACCGAGTTCGACGATGCCGATTCGTGCTTCAGAGGTGGTGGGATCGGGTACGATTCCGCTTCCGACGACTACAAAGTTGTGAGGATAGATTCACTGGACTACGACAGTGATAGTAGAACTGTATACCAAACTAGTTTTTATAGTCTAAAAATGGATTCTTGGACGATGACTAAGGATTGCCCTTACGACTTTTCGTGGATGAGGCAGCTTACCGGGGTTTTCCTCGACGGCGCATTGCACTGGATATTACCGAACATGATAGTTGCGGTTGTTCTCGAAACTGAAGATTACAGAGAACTGCCTCTGCCCGCGAATTCCGTGGAACTTTACAAAATGCATCTAGATGTGCTGGATGGATGCTTGGTTGTGAGTTACTTCTACCCGATGGATCGATTGGATGGATGGGTGATGAAAGATTGTGGAGTGGAGAAATCGTGGGTGAAGTTGTTTTCGTTTAGGGAAGTGGGAGATGTTGTTGGAGTTCTGTGGTGCCTCAGGCCTATTGCTTATATCAAGAGCAAAGGGCACGTTTTTCTGCAGCATGGTGACGCGTTTTTTCGGTTGGATGTTGAGAGTAATTCTGTGAAGAAGGTTATCGTTCGTGGGCTCCCGCGTAATTTCTCGTCTCAAATTATGGTGGAGAGTCTTTTACGACTCGATCAAAGTTGTGCTGTTACAGTGAAAAATAGAGCAGGGATGAAGAGGAAGAGGAACAAGGCTGATGCAAGGTGAAATACTCTAACTACCCCTTTTTTATGATTAAATTTAGCTTCGGCTTAGCCGATTTCAAGATTGTAGATCGTTCAATTTTTTTTTGAAAATTCAAATCTTGTTACAAATTAGTAGGGGTGGGGAAGGATTCGAACCGTAGATCTCTAATGTAATATACTCTAAGAGTAGAGACTACTAGGTAACAACTTTACTTACGAGGGCTGGTCAGATCGTTCAAAAAGAATATCATTTTTCCTGGCAAATATCTAATGATAAGAGAACCTTAGCGCTTATCATATTTAAAAACAGTTATACCATTATAATATGATTTGAGAATTGAGTATTGTTGCTCTTATAATTATGTTTAAGTTGACGAGGAGAATCTGTGGTCAGTAAATCGAGATTTTCCTTTCGTTTTGTGAGTTGGCATTTTATTCAAGAGTTATATTTGTTGTTGACTTGGGAGATGGTGCGGCTGTCGCAGAAAAATTGTTGCCTCCATGAATTTCATTTCATCCAAAGATTATGTTAGTGTCGGACTAGTGCGAAATAGAAAGCTGTGCTCTACGAACATTCATTTTTAGACACTCTTAGTGCGTGTGCAATTACGTGATAAAATATCGACATCTTCTTGTGTTCAACATGACCATAATGTTTATATTTTCTCGCAGGGTAAAGCACTCTGTAAGTATCGTTGATGTTTGTTCGAGTGAGGGCGATGATTAGTGCTTTGAACAACTCGGTTTTGGTGGAAGCCTGAAAGAAGACATGGATATGCATCAAGTGAGTAAGGCAAAATAGACGTCCGAAGCTAGTTTTAGCTGCTTTTGGTTCTTTTCTTTTTCTTTTTTTTCCTTGTTATTACATTTTTTTTAGTCCTTGATGTTTTCAAATTCTAACTGGACATCTAAAACAAGTCAACAAATCCTAAAAACCCACACATAATTCATGGTTAGTGGCATCTTGTTTTGCTTAACAAACATATACATGTTTTATAATACTAGGCAGGTGCACGTGTTGTTTCACGTGTCTTGTTATGAATGTTGAATACTATGATGAACTATTATGATAACTAAAAATATTACGATCGATAAAATACAATTTCCCCCCTTTTACCATAGCCGTTACATGCATTCACCGCCTATACTACTGAAAAAGGTATCCACCATGTTAGTGATTAATTTGGGTGACACTTTTCACCATTTGTTCAGACCTCTAAGTTTTATAGTTAATTTATTTTTTCTCTTTTTTATTACCATAAAAGTTTATACGTAAACAATTAACAATATCGTTAAATATGAATGAAAATAATTAGATATTTTACAAAGTTAAATTGTAAATCATTAATGTATATCATATTATTAAAAATTCAAACATAGTTTATATAAACTAATAAGAAACAATATTGAGAAATAGAATGCATTATCTAACTCCACTGTCTCGATCCGCTCCCCTTCTCCTCCATGTATCCACCAACCCTTCCGTGCAATTCCTTTGATGTATCAATGAGCACTTCATATATACTTTCTCTTATCTCCGTTTTTCCTTCGATCTTCTTGTTCCTCATTTGCTTCGTACATGATATGCGCATTGTAGTCATATATGAAGACTTTAATATATATTTGGAAGATCGACGAACCCGACAATTACAAGAGATTTACAAATTTTATCAGGGTATGTGGAAAAAGCTACATTCGGCCTCATGATCCAACTCCTAATATCGATTTAAGGAGCACAAGATGGAACTTGAAAAACTTAAGGATATATAGAGAAAGACTAAATTATATTGATTGAATTTTAAAGGCCTTCAAGGCTCAAATCATTACCTAAGACCGTTGGGATCCTTGTAGGGATGGCAACATGTCGGTTATGTGCCGGGTTTGCCTAAACCCGAAATCCGACCCATGAAAATATGTAAAACCCTGACTCGCCCCAACCCAGTTCAGCTTAAAACCAGACCCGCCCCAATCCATACTCGAATTAAACGGTTCTGACCCGCCAGACCCGCTAGACCCACTAACATAAGAAAAAAATATTATTCATTTTTTAATTTTCATAATATTTTGCTTCTATATTTTAACAAAATAATCTAATAATTAAAATACAATATTTTAAAATACTTCTACAAGTGATATAAAGTGAATAATAAAATTATATAATTGATTATATTTAACTTCTACGATAAGTAAATTTCAAAAGGTAAGACGTCTAGCGGTGTTCGACAAGTGATATATTTTACTTACGAGAAATGAGATTCAAAAAAATGAAATGAAGAAAAACGGGTAAATGATATATAATAGACACGATGAAAATTGAAAGTTTGATAAATGAAATCGTAAATTAATTTTTATATATGGATTAATTATAAAATATAATATACTTATACAGGTCAGTTCCAATAAGACCCGTAACCCAACCCAAAACCGTCCGATATAGAAACTTAAACCCATTATTCGAACCATTTAACTTACCCAGACCTGCCCCAAACAGATCGGTACCGGGTTTAAGACCCTGTAAACCCGTACCCATTGCCATCTCTAGATTCTTGCATTTAATTTATTTTTCTTAAATTAAAGAGTACAAGTTTTATAGCCGAGTATATCAATATACAATTTAATTCTAAGAAATGCATTGAGATTGTTGGACTATTTGTTTTGTTGAATTCTAAATGCATGAATCCTATGAAGTTAACTATTATAATTAGGGCATACGAATTAACTTTTAGTGATTACTTAATAGGGGAAATATGCAATACCCCTCAAATGGAAAATATTTTGACCTACATCCAATTGATTTTAAAGACTTTTGTTATAACTGAAATTTCAATTTGAATTAGTTAGACCCCTGATCAAATGCGATAAGACTAAATTACCCTATGTTTTCATTTAAATTATCATTATAGTCACATTAGAATCAAAGTTACTGAATTGTGGGCAAATATAGTCACAAATAGTCACATTGGAGTCACTGGTACGATAGTCATATTCGATGATAGTTGATTGTGGGCAAATATAGTCACATTCGACGTGGTAAACTTATCGGAAATATTGTCATATTCGACGTAGTAAACTTATCGGGAAAGGGGAAAAGAAACCCTAATTTTTTTTATTATTACAAAAAAAAATGCGAATATACTATATACAATATAAATATGATAAATGTTGATTTATATGAGGGAGGGTATTTTCGGTTCAAAAAAAGCTAATAGGGTATTGCAAAGGATGAATTTAAGATCGAGTGTAGTTCTATTTATTAGCGGGAAGGGTTTATTGTTAAAACCCCTAATTAATAATTAATAATTAATTTAGATACCAAGTCTTAGCATTTTCTCAAGCCTTTAAGACCTTTGAGTAATCAAATTTTTTTTTTTTCGGATGATCGTTTTTGTCGTATTAGAAATAAAAATATTAATGGAATTAAATGTCAATAAAGCCTACATGAATATGATTTGGTTAATTCTTTTTTTCTTTTTCTATGAATTCAACGAATGAACCAAATTAATCATATCACTTATTATTATTATTATTATTAGAAGATATATTAGTAAATAGCTTAATTACCCTTATAATCCTATGTTAATTAATAATTAATAGTTAATTGAGTTACCAAGTCTTAGCATTTTCTCAAGCCTTTAAGACCTTTGAGTAATCAATTTTTCTTTTTGCCCATGACCGTTTTTGTCATGTTAGAAATAAGAATTTAATGTCAATAAAGCCTACATGAATATGATTTGGTTAATTCCTTTTTCTACAAATTCAACAAATGAACCAAATTATTCATTATCACTTATTATTATGAAAGGATATATTAGTAAATAGCTTAATTACCCTTATAATCCTATGTCTAGAGAGTATTTTGTAGGGTAATTTTATCTATGCAAAAAAGGGAAGAAACTTCCTAACTACTCATACTAATAGAAGTAGTATAGATTCAACAACCTGCACATATGTGATTTATTCTCAGCCTGATTTTATCTGCCAATTCACAAACACAAAGAGATATAGAATCATTATTAATCAAGTGAAGGAAACTTCAGAAACAATTTCCAATGGCCATTAAGAAAGCAAAATGCCTCGATGATGCATATATATATATTAGGAGGGTAAATTCCACTTTACCCCTTGTACTTTGGCTGGATATTATTTACCCCCTTGTACTTTCAATTGCATCGATTTGCCTCATTGTACTTTGGTTTGATATCACTTTACCCCCTTCTACTCTCAATTCATCGATTTGCCCCCTTGTACTTTGACTCGATGTCACTTTACCCCATTCTACTCTCAATTGCATTGATTTGCCCCCTTTACTTGAAAAATTGTCTCAATGTGGCCCTCGCCGTTAGTTTTCAAACTTTTGACCTGAACACCATTTGATTTAAGTATGAAAATTACTAAAATGTCACCCCTCCAGTTTAAATAATTAATAAAAAAATAAAAAATAAAAAACAACAAAATAAAAGAATAAAAAATTCAAGACATCGAGAAAACATAGTCCACGACGCCAGCCACAATTTTTATTTTATTTTTTTTTATTTTATTAATAATTATTTAAACTGGGAGGGGTGGCTTTTTTTGTAATTTTCAAACTTAGATCAAACGGTGTTAATGTCAAATGTCTGAAAATTAACGGCGATGACCTCATTGAGATTATTTTTCAAGTAAAGGGGGGCAAATCGATGCAATTGAGAGTAGAAGGGGGTAAAGTGATATCGAGCCAAAGTACAAGGGGGCAAATCGATGAATTGAGAGTAGAAAGGGTAAAATGATATCGAACCAATGTACAAGGGGGAAAATTGATGCAATTGAGAGTACAGGGAGGGTAAAGTGATATACAGCCAAAGTACAAGGGGGGTAAAGTGGAATTTACCCTATATATTATTCTAAAGTTTATAAAGTAGTGGACTGAA